TTACCTGCCAACAGACTAATCAAATGTTTTGTAAAAATGCATATATGAGTCTATCTTTTATATTAGGAAGTAAGTCCAATTTCTATTTGAGTATTATTATCATAATTTTTTGTACTTTGAATAAAATTCTAAAGTTTGATATTTCATCAAGTTTTAGCTTACAACCCTAATAAATCTTCATATTACATAATTTAGAAAGACATAAATTCAAATACGCTCGCATAAATACTGATACATAAGTCTGAAAGAAAATGCCAGTCGGGAAGCACAATTGGAAAATGTGCTACCAAAGGAGTTCAAGCTTGCCTATCATCGGCATTCCCGACTTCCTCACCGACTTCGGGCTACTCGTCTGCCATATTTGGAATACCAAGCATCCGGCACAATTCAGCATAATCAACAATCTCTTTGTCCACATGCCAGCTCCCATGTTTACCTTTCTTATAATCATTCATAAGAAAGGATCTAGTGGCTATTTCAACTTCTAGTTGGTAATTATCTAGACGGTCCTCTAGAGAAGCAATCGAAGCCGAGGAAGATTTCTTTAAGTTTGCAAGCTCCTCCTCCAATGCGGTCTTCTCAGGAACCATCTTGACTAGCTCATCTATCACTTTTTAGTAGCCAAGTAGCATCTTTCTTCCCAACCCTCAAACTTTCTACTTCTCCACATAATGAAGTATTTGTGTCGTGCAATGAGCGTACCTTTCTAGCCTGTCTAACGGCTCCATTTTTCTAAAAAATAGCGCCTTGCAGACCCTGGAATCAATGAAATAATTTCTCATCAACCAATTGGGTTATGCATAATGAAGTATATAAAAAATAATATACCTGGAAAATTGCTGCCTTTACTGGACCAAGTTGCTAATAGAACGTCAGGTCATCAAGAAATAATAGACCTTTACCAAGCACCACTATCCTCGAATTAGAGAACGCAGCTTAATTGGAGGGAAAGGTAAGCACGATCGAATCATCCTTTGCCGATGATGGCCCTGGATGACCCTTTTTGCTAATCGACAGGGAGGGAGCATCAGGTAGCTCGGTCTGGCTCAAGAAATCATCAAACAAGACTGGAGTGTCAGCTAGCATTGTAAGATGAGAAAACTTCTAAGACTTTTCTTTCATCTTTCTCCTTTCTAAAGCATTAAGAGAAGACCTTACCACTCTTGACATGATTCGATCTACAATCTCGCGTTCAGTCGAGTTAAGCGGACCGACCAAAGGAAGATCGCTACCAAGAATTTCCATACCTTTCTTTATCGTGATAATAAGGATTTTATGTCTTAGGAAATAGGAAGGAATACCTCTTGGTTCTACCGAAGTATGATCCCACAAGCCACTAGAAGAAAGAACCTCTAAAGACAGATGGAACTGGCAGTTCCTTTAATCCTTAGGTATCGTTAAGATCTTAGAAATTCACTTTTTCACAAACAAGCCTTCGATGGGTTTTGATGTAAAGACCTGCAAGAAAGTGAAATAAGAACTTTGAATTGGTAAAGCATGTTGAGAGTAAGTGATCTATGAACCTTACCATGTGACCATGCTGAAGGGAAACGACAATTTCCTTGTCGAATCAAATCACTTGACGTAAGAAAATAAGACCATTTCTAACCTTTTTCTACCAAGGAAAGTCCAACTATTAATCGATCGGTATTTTTCTTTACATTTAAGGAAAATCGGCATTTCTTACCGTCATGCTCCCCTATAAAGTAACCATGCAGCAGCTCCGACATGCCAAATGAGATATCGTGCTGCCAAGTCAGAACTTGGAGAGCCAAGAGCAATCGCCAAGAGTTGGGCATAAATTGACTGGGTGCAATATCAAAATATTCTAGCACTATCCCAACCATGTGAGGAATCAGAAATCGAAAGCCATCTTGGCAACTTATAGAAAAAGGTCCAACCTGGAACATTCCATGAAACTCTTTCGTGTGGTCGTGGTAAACGAAGTTGAACAGATACGGGAATACCATAAGCATCTCGAATTCTTATCAAGTAATTCTCCATCAGCTTACTCGGTATGTTCTTAGTGAACAAGATATCACTAGCCCTTGGACAACTATGTTCATAAAAACTATGTCTTGAATAGCCACCATCATGATCGGAATCGGCCGGATCAATAGTAATACCTGAGCTTTCTAGATCGATCGCATAAGATAAGCAAATCCCCGGACCACCAACAAACCTCTCCAATGTTGGCCCGTTTAGACAATCCAAACTGATATAATTGTCTAGCAATGAGTTTTCATCTGGATTGCTAGACCTAGTCCCTCCTTTGGTCGGCAAAGGATCGGTTGGAATTCCATACGGAATATCACAATAATCACTCCAATCCATTTTTCATAAAAAAAAACTACTCACTAGCAACTTCACTCTATGATAGATCAAACTCTAGAAACTCCAGATCAAACAATTGAAGAACTTGAGAAAATATTTGAAAAAAACTCAAGAATGAGGCAAGAACTTGAAGAATGGAGGAGAGAAAGTCACCAAAGTTACTTGAGAAATGAATGATGAAGCTTTAACTAGTTAGAATTTGATGAGTTGGATACATAAATTCACAAATTTGTTCAAAATCATTAACCAAACGTGTGAACTGGATAGACATTTATTGTTCGACTAACACTCTCTACAAGATATGTCGCACATTCTAGACGGATCGGTAATTTTTTCATTTGAAGTGGATATATTATCGGTAGATTAATACTCTCTACAAGACATGTCGCACGGTCTAGATGGATCGGTAATTTTTCCATTCGAAGTGGATATATTTATCGACCGACTAACTCTCTCTACGAGACATGTCGTATGGTCTAGACTGATTGGCAATTTTCCCTTTTTGAGTAGGCATATTTATCGGTTAAATATGTTCTACGCAAGACATGTCGTACGATCTAGACATTTATATATATAAAAATTATTAGTCACTTTCCACTCGACAATGTCACTACCGAGTGGAAAGATTGGTGCATGCATGCCAACATACTACAAAAATGTGTTGCCGTGTGGCAATAGAAACCACACAGTTTCCGAGCCGTGTGGTGGTAAAAACATTGTATATATTTATATGGTATATTTTATGTAATTTACCTATATTATGATTATATAATAAATAAATGAAATTATATAATCAGAAATAAAACAATTTTTGAGCTGTATGATTTTGAAAATCAAACGGCTCTCAAACGATCAGTCGCACGGTTCGATTAGTCGTGCGAAAATCTACCGAAAACACGTTACGTGGCTTCCGAGTCATATGTCATTTCGAACAGCTTTCAAGTAATATGGTACCAAAAACCAAACGACTTAAAAGCCAAAAATCAATATGAAAAATCGTACAGCTCGACAAGCAGTGCCTCATTCTTCCAAGTGTCACATGGCTTTCGATTACGCAATAAAATTGCATGGCTAGGCAAGCACGCGATAATATCCCATGACTTTTTTTGGTCGAATGATTTTCATCCACCACCATAACGAATTCTATTACCACTCCAAACTATGAGCTTCTTTGGGAATGATTAAAATCCAATTAAAATTGAAAATATAGCCGTTATTAGGTCCCACTCATCTAATAAAAGTCAACTTCAACGGCTATATTTTCAATTTTAATTTGATTTTAATCCCTCCCAAACAAGCTCATAGATATGATCAGATGGTCCATCCTATGATCAAAGCGTGCCCTCAACAAATGGTATGATCAGTCGTAAGCCCGAATTACATTTTCATTCGAATGGAACTTATATAAAAGATTAAGGGACACATTGTAATTGCAAAAATTGTTCCACTAGCCCAAACGGCCCAAATCAAAAAATAAAGTACACAGATGGTCCACTTGATAAATGTGCCATCTTTTGGCCCAGCTCGTTATGTCGATCGAGCCAAATACACGGTCCAAGACCCAAGTGTCAATTCAAAATCCCTCATAATTTATCTTCAAGATAAATCACGCTATGATTTGACTAAGTCAAGTAAAAGTTATCTGAAAACAACTTGGATATCTCAACCGAATAAATCGTATCAGATTCAATTCCAACCAACCAGAAAATCTCGCAAAGTCCTCGTCAATCTCGCTTAGACGGTTATCTCAATGCTATAAATTCCTTAGTCAGTCTTACGTTCGGTAGATAAGAAAAAACTACTCTACTCTAAATTACTCATTGTTTCTTTTGGTCTAGTATTCTTATAATCCTTGAGAAGTTTCTCAGACTTGATCGTAGGAGGATCTTTGGCCAGCACCACATCGGTGTCCTCTTGAGATCTTTTGCGGTCTTTCTTCCTCGATCTACTTTTTCGTAGGATTGCTGGTGGCCTGGCGGACTCGATTTTCTCAACTGTAGAATTCACCGTCTACGGTATCATACATTAAATCTTATTTAACTATTTAGACAAAGTCATTTTTAACTTTTGTACATATAAAATCTTTTAAAAAATTGAAATTAAAGTTAAATAAACAGTTTTTTTAAAAAAATAAAAAATTAATAAGTTAAAGTTGAATAAAAGGCTTTTTTTAATTAAAAAAAGAAAAAAATTAAGAAAGAGAACTAATAAAATGTGACTAGGGAAGACAAAAGGGTGAGAATAAAATTAAGCCATTTAGGAATTTTAATGAAAATGTCTAGACGCAAAGTGAGGAGTTTTGTCCAATTTTCCAGTAGGGATGGCAAGGGCCCCGCCCTGCCCCTGCATAATTTTAGTTGCTATTTTTTATTAGAACTAATGAAAATTTTCATTTAAAGCCGTCCCTTCCACGGGGCAAAATTCCTCACCCGTTACCCGTTTAAGCGGGTTTTCCTCGTCCCGTTCGGGACGAGACCCACGAGTATCGAATTTGTCGAATTTTTTTGTCATCCCTATTTTCTATTTTCGAGCCTAGGTGACTAGAAACGTTCGCAATGAACTTTTCAGAACACGTAGAGGCTATATGAGCCAATTTCCACTTTTCTCCTTATAAGTTGATAAATAATGACGCTGAACATTTTTGTTGCCAAGGTATGAAGGGAACGATGGGAGAGAGAAAAAAAGCGAGGCCAAACAAGAAATCCAAAACGGAGTGGCCTTCCATCAAACCCAAGTCTAATCTTCAAATCACTCGCCTGAAAGACAACGATCTTTTTACTGTATGGTGCCTTTCCTTGAATTCTTCATTCTCTTTTATATTTTTTCACTAATTACAATTTAGTTTTTGGGATATAGATTGTTGTTGATTGACCAAATTAATATTCTGTTAATGGGTTGGTTCGACTTGGGATTTGAACTAAATTTTATTTAATTTAGGAATTTAAGCTGTAACCACAAATTTTTTCGTCTTATGTGTTTCGTGCTAAGAATCAATTTTTTTTTATTGCATTGAATTTATAGTTTAACCTGAATATCTGTGGATACAATTGGAATTGATGCTTCATGGTTGTAAAAATAAGAGAGACGGAGCTTGTTTATGCAATTTTGATAGAGCTAGAGATGATTAATTTGCAAGCCATTTCCAATTTAAAATGACTGCAGCTAGGGCCATCTTTTGGCAGGTATTTCAGTGTGGATAGGAGAATTTCCTTCTGTTGTATCCCAGTATCCTGTTTGTAATGTTTTTAGTTAGAGGTGAAAATGTTAAGGTTTGTTCTTAAGTGGTTGGATCAGGGTTTTGGTTGATGTTAACAGGCTACTTTCATAAGAGTGACGTGATTTCTCTTGAGGAAGTCTGGAGGGCTAGATCAAAACTAAGTTAGCCTGTGGTAGTTGCTAAAGATCTATTAGATCTCTTATTAAATAGATTTAGTAACTAACACCTAACAGAGCAGAAGGGCGAAGAAGGATCCATATAGTCAGTGTTATAGAATACACGATTTAAGGGGTAGTCCAATGCACTGTCCCTTAAATCTTGGACATAATGGATGGCATTCTTCCCCTTAAATCATAGAGGGATGTTCTACAATAGAATATAGATGTTAGTTGGGCCAAAGATCGTGGGATTAATTACATATATGTTGGCTCCCGTTTAGCTTTCCTTGTGGTTTTGTCTACTACTAAAGTTGTGCCAAAGAAATTGTGCTATATACATGTATCATTGTTCTATTAATAGAATGACATCTCCTTCCACCAACACTTTTCTAAGAAAATTCTCATGGTATCAAAGCGTGTTTAATCCGAATTTTTGAGTAAAACTTGCAAGCCTCGATTTCCAGCGGGTGGCCCCATGCCGCTTGTCTGGCCAAGTTTCCCTTTTTTGGGTTTCTTTTAAATATTTGTCCCATCAATTTGGTTTCCTTTACAGTATGACACAATTTTTCCTTCAGTTGAATTGGTTGATCCGCTACTAAAAAGTTGTTGATCTGAATGGAGGAGTACCCTTTAGTTCACAAGGTTCTTGAAAGTTGAAATAATTGATGTCAAAATGTGTTGGAGTTTGGAGATCAAAAGGTGTCAAATTGTTGTCCCCTGAAACCCACTAGCCTTGGATAGTTTTCCTTGCCATGTTCATGTTAGTGAAGTGTCCAAGTTGGTTTCATTGTATATGCAAAGCTTGAGTATCATGTTTGTCTAATTGCATGAGAACCAGATAAAGCAACCAGGTCCAGGTGGAAAGTCCATGAGAACAATCTTGAAATAAGGGAATTTTGATTAAAAGCTGGAGGGGGGATATTATGGTTTGCAGCAGCCTGTCTTGCTGTCCTTGCATCTATCTTCCATGTTTTACATTCCAATTAGGCCCTTCTAGAATGACAACAGAGTTATGAGCGGCGATGGCCAATATATCAGCACACGATACCACTCTAGGGCACGCATTCTCAATGGCAGACTTTATGCTGTCAACAACATCAAATCCCCTGGCAGAATTACACTATCTTATCCAGTGAAGGAAGAACCTTCAATCACCATTCACCAATATACTTCCCAACATTGGTTCATAAAAATTCTTGTAACAAATCACTATGTTATTCCGAAGCTTGGGCTTTTATCATCATGGCTTTAAAAGATAACAAATGAAAAAGGGAAACAAAGCTCCCAATTTGATGTATGAATCATGGAGTAAAAATAACGGTCAACTCGTTTCATGGTTACTTGTAACCATGAAAGAGGACGTGCAGATTTTCACTTCGAATTAGAAACAAGTTCTGTTATCAATTCTTGAAGGTTTAAACTTAGTGCCTCAAACTTCCTCTGGTGGAGTTCGCAAGTCATCTCATGCTCGGCGTGTATCATCATATTGCAAGTGATGAAAAACCATGAGAGGAGATTGTCGACGACAAAAGGCAACACAACTCCAAATCAACCACATCAAAAGTGGCCTAATATTATGGGCTTCTTACTTCATGGTTGCCTGGAGCACGTGCTTTGCTCGGTGACATCAAGGGATTACTTAAGAGTTCATGCTTTCTGGATTTAGATCGTGCAAATTCAACTCTTGTTGCCACAAATGTGGCTGCACGTGGACTGGATATTGATGATGTCCAATTACAGGAGGAATGTGTTGTCGAGTTGCCTAAAAAAAAAATAAGCATGCATCGAGTTGGCTGAGACTGTCAACTTTCAACTAAATTCTGTTGTGGCTCCCCTATTTCCTTCCAAATCATCTTTTCTAAAACAGGTCAGCATCAGTTTCAAATTCTCACAAGTTCAGAAAATTTTTTTAACAACAGAAATTGTAGATGAGCTCTGGCGATAATATCTTTGCTAGTTGTGGCAAGGAATATTGATGTTCTTGCAATTCCTGCAGTTTCACTTGTTTATACTATATATTGTTCCATGAAGGCTATAGAGACAACATGTTAAGCTTTAGATTGGGTTCTATACACTTTGATCACCCTCTTAGAGCTTACGTTTTCCAAAGTTTTTCCACATGATCTTATGCTGAGCTGATAGGTGTATGCTGGTTGTTGCACCAGCTGTCTCTATCTGGAGATACTTTTCAACAGCTTCGACACAAGCTAGGAGTCAATGACAGTTCCCTCTCCGGCTTGAGGGTGTTACAGCATACATGAATTAAGGGATAGTCCAATGCACTATCCCTTTAATTGTGGACATAATGGATGGCATTCTACCCCTTTAGTCGTGGAGTGATTTTCCACAACATAGATGTTAGGTTGGCCAAAGATCATGAGATTAATTACATATTAGTTGGCTCCCATTTAGCTTTCCTTGTGTGGTTGTCTAGCACTAAAATTGTGCCAAAGAATGTACTAACTTTGTGTGCCCTATATATGTATATCATTGTCCAATGATTAGAATAACACTTCCTTCCACCAGCACTTTTCTAAGAAAATTCTTAGTTGGCGCTCAAATTATTAGGAATAATGCTTAATTTGTTGTTGGTTGTTGTTACCGTGGTCTATATGTACTGAAATTGAGAAATAAAAAGTGGAGGCAGTGGTTTATAACATTTTAAAAACTTCATTTACATTTTACCCTCCCTTGAATTTAGCTCTTTTAAATTGTTTGACTGAAATTCTTTTTCCTTTTTCCATGAATTTTGTTGTATGTGCTCAGATTCAGAACTTCTTTACACCTGTTGAGTCGAAGGCAGTCATTAAAGTTGCAGAAGAAATTGGCTTTCTTCATCAAGGGAGTCTGGGTCCAACAAAAGGAGAAGCTTATAGAGACAATGACCGAATAGCTGTACAAGATCCTGTTCTTGCAGATGCAATATGGAACTCTGGGCTCAAAAACTTATTTTCTGATATTAAGTTTCGAGGCAAAGTCGCAGTTGGTTTGAACCCAAATATAAGATGTTATAGGTCTGTGGCATTATAGGGTTTATATGTATATTGTGAGGAAGTACACAGTTAAAATTAGTGAAGATGAAGGGTGGTGCTTGGTATTTTATCTGTAGCAACAGGTATTGATATACTTTAATTAATTTTAAAAAATGTAATGTTCTAGGTACACTGCTGGTCAGCGTTTTGGACGGCACATTGATGAAAGCGTTGATCTTGGAGAAGGGAGGCGTACACACTATACATTGTTAGTCTACCTTAGTGGTACTCCTGGTGGAAATATATCCAACTCTAAGAATGATGATGTCTCCCGGGATTCTTTATCTGAGGCTCTGGTTGGAGGAGAGACTGTTTTCTACGGCCCAAGAAATGCTCTGGTGGCAGAGGTCTATCCTTACCCTTGATGCTACATGCTTCTCTCTCCTGTCACTTCCGAAAAAAAAAAAAGGAACTCTAGACTCATTCTTATATATGTTACATAGCTAATTGAACTAATTTGTCGTTAACCTTGTCACATGACATATTGAGACATGTACTTCTCTTTCACGTTTTAACTTTAGGCCAAAAATCAATCTATTCAACAAGTGAAGTATGAGGGTTTTTGAAATCAGGGTTTATGGTAAACAGACTGTTAAATGAAAATGTGAGCTCTTGTGGCCTCTCAGTCCTAGCTCAGTAAGTTAGATTGGGCTCCGTTGAATTGCAATGCTCTGTCCATTTAGTATTTCTTGTTTTATCTATATTTTACCCCTCTCTCAGACCAGCTTACGATTTACCACTTAAAGGATCCGAAACTATAGTTTCTTGTGATACCATTTTGCATATTAATGATAATCAATGTATCATCTGATTGGGTTTATTACTTATTTGAATTTTCTAAATTCTTTAGGTACCTCCTACTGAAGGTATGGCTCTACTTCACATTCATGGTGATAAGTGTATGCTGCATGAAGCACGAAATGTCTGTAAAGGTGTTAAGTATGTCTTACGATCTGACGTAGTATTTGCATGACGGTGGTCAAGCTTCGATTAATCATTCACGTTCTGTAAGTTTTTTCTATATCCTAAATATTATGTATTAATGAGAATATATTGATTCAGTATGGAACATTTGTATCCATCATTGCTCAATATAATAGAAGTAATTCTGTAACTAGCAATACGAACACAGAAGTTGGCGGATCAGTATTTATTATTTCTAATTATGCCAAACTAGGCATTTAGCTAGTTGAAAATAAATGTTGCTACATACTTGTATTGATGCTTATCTTTTGGTGTGTGGGATAATTTTCATCCCCTGTTGTGAGTGCTGATGTTACTACCATAAATAGTCCATTCCTCCCTTATCAATCCTTAGCTTTTTGGTTCCTGCTTATTTAACCTATGTCACGAAGAAAAATAGAAACTTAGTGGTAAAGAAAGTAAGAAACGTAAAATAAGAAAAGTTAGAAGAACAAAATTTGTCCTAAGCAAGAAGAAATATTACATGCCATCAAAAGAGATGTATGAGGTCAATTTCTGTTAATGTTTGGATATCTTGGTGGCATTGCCTGTGCAAAGGTTCCCCTTCAGTTGGTCATAACCTGTGAAGCACAAACACGAACATGATTTGGACATGTAACACGTTATTTTTGAAAAGTAGAACACAACCACGCTGATTAAGTAAAAAAAATAGCTTTTTTTGGTTTTTCATTAGTATGAATACCCAAGTGAGTTTTTCTAGTTCTGATTTCGAGAGAATTATTTTGGATTTGAAATTTTGAATAATATTGGAGACTTTGGGTGGTTATATGTTGTTAAGATAATTTTACCTGTGCCAGACTGGCAATGGAACTTTTCTTCACTTGTTTGTATTTTAAGTGAAATGTACAACAAAATGGGGGAGTGAATTTTATGAGTTGTCGAGGGAACAAAAACTGGTAGAATGGCCAAGTTTCGCACAACAAAAATTATTGAAAATAGCCCTCGTAAAAAGTTAAATAAGTGGCTAACATGCAGAGTTTTTCCATTCTTCAGATATCTCCGGATTCTTCCCTTCTCTCTCTCTCTCTCCCTTAATTCTGGAGGATTCACAGTTAATCCTAATTTTATTTTGCCTGAAAAAAATTTCTTTTCACCTTTTTTTGGATTTCAAATACTACAGAATGAGGCTCTCTTTGTTGGATGTGTTGATGTTGTGTTGTGTTGTTGGCATGTTGGATTTAAAAGAGAAGGCGACATGCCAAGATGCGTCTGTGTCATGTCCAACACAATGCAAAGCACCTGCACAAACTCTTGTCCATCTATATCTTGTGACTAATTCATTGTATTTCATTATGTTTTGTTTCTTACAGGTTCTCTTATGATAGCAAACTCGAGTTCATGTCAAATATATGCATCGGGTTTTGATGATATTTCCGGATGAAGCTTATTTGAGCAATCTGTGAATGCAGGTTTGCTGTTGTTCATGTGATGTCGTCTTTGCTTCTTATTGTGTTGCAGTATTAGATGAAGAACATGGCAAATTAAAGCTGCATTTGTCTCCATATTGTGCGAAATTGAACTAAAATCTGCTCGTAGAATTCTCGTTAAATGCTTAGTAAGGAAAGCTTTCTTTGAGTACTTTTTCATTCGAAAATGCTTTTCCAGCACAAAATTTGAGTAACGATATTGACATGAAGTGTATTCTCCTTCGGAATTATAGTTTGTTTTCGTTTACAGTATATTTGATCACACAATGTTTCAACAACATTGTTTGGCCTCCATTTTAGAGAATTTATAAATTTTGGAATAGCGTGATGGGAGAATATGTGGTTGAAAAATAATGAAAAGTTTTAAATTTGTGTGTAATAGTATTTTATTTGGAAAATGCGGGCTAAGTATGTCATTACTGTTCATCTCAAACTCTGCTAAATATCGAAATACAATGTTTCTAGGTAAAACATAACTGTTTTTTTATACAATTTTTCAACCATCTACAATTTTGAAATTGTGAATGTACATCAAAATTTGTCCTTTTAGCTTGGATCGACATGTTACTAGTCGATATGAGTTATCTGATTTGCGCAATCTAGTCCAATTATCGTACTCGATGCACCCACCCTAGCACATAACATTTGGATCTAGTGCCCAAGTGTCACGATCAAATGAGTAACGTTATGAACGGTAAGCCACCAACTTCCATAGAAAAAAGGGCTGCAGCCACGGGGGGACCGCTACCGGCGGTGGACCACACACTCACAATTGTGTTCGGGACCCACTCTCCACTTGCAGTTTTTATTTAATTTGACTACACGAGCCCACTGGTTGATCACTATAAATTATAAAGTTTGGACAGGTCGCAAAAAAAAAAAAAAAAAATTAAAAATTACGACTTTTCATGGCTTTGAATGTAGTCATAGAATTAATCCCTTGTACACCATTTCCCTCGCAATAGAGGGGGCCCTTTTGGAATTAATCCCTGTGAGGGAGGGTCGTTTTTGGAAGCGCCCCCCACCCTATTGTGAGGAGGTGTTATACTTGATGTACACTCAAATCATGTTGAAATGCGCAAATAATTTTAGGACCATTCACATGGAGGGTGGGGTCCACTCGAATAAAAAAATATTATTTCAATGGATTCTACCTTCCATGTGAGAGAGATGTATCCCTTAATGTACAAACTTTGATGTACAAGTGGAATTGTCCATAATTTTATCTCTGCGTTCATCATCAGAAACATGACTTGTCATCGAATTTAAACATAGACTCAAACAACGTATTGAACAATAACGTAAATAATCAAATAGAAAAATTCCGACACCTTGATTATGTGACATTGGCCAATATTTTCATTAGACGACGGCCATTGCGAAAGCTTCTATACTTCAAATTGATCAAATACAACACAAATAATGTGACCTAAAAGTCTAACATGGTGTTTTGTCACGATTTCCTGTCCCTGAACCAACCATAAACTGAAGCAACTGCGTAGCACTTGTTGTACTTGTCGCACCGTTCGCTATTGAAGTTGTACTTGTCGCCATCTTCTCCGCAGACATTCCCCCGCTGGTGGTGGCGCAACTAGTAGTAGTACCAAAGCTCACGTTCATTGCTGGTTGCATAGTAGAAAAGAAATTTGACATGAGCCCACCTGATACACTGTAAACAGGTGCGGCGGTTGTGACGGGTATGGTAAAAAAATGTGGGTGGTTAGACGTCACAGCGGTGGTAATTGTGGCGGCGCCACCTGTAGATGGGATCATAAAGACTGTCCCCGGAAAAACTGGGACAAGGCCTCTGGGTGCAATGGGTGCCAGAGGGGCAATTACTGAAGAATCCTTAGCGGTATATGATTCACTGTTAGCGGACCTTTTTCTTCGTTTTTTTGTGCTATCTGCGTCGGGTTCTTCATCGGAGGACGTGGTGGTCGGGATTTTCAAAGCACCGTTTACAGAGACGGCGATGGAGGGTACGGTCCCAGTGCCAGTGGCTTCGATTATGGCAGGCTCCGCCCGCTCGAGGAGCCAGCTAATGGTCTCCCCGTCGGACTTATGGCCGAGCTCCCTTGTCAATTGGAAGACTCGGGCCGCACAAGCCGCCGGTATGCGAATTCTCCGACCGCGTCCCTCCACCTTTGTGTGACGATCCTTGGAGGACCTCTTCGACGACTCCGCTAAAACAGCAACCGACTGTAACGGAGAAGGAGCCGCAGCACCAAATGGGGTGGACCCATCCATATCATTCCCTACGTGTTCTTGCTTCAACAAGGGCATGATGTCAGAAGGCTGAGGCGGCGAACGCGGTGGCGATGGATCTGTTTCTTCTGTACAAGAAGAAGTGCCGCCGGCAGTGATTTTGAAATCAAGAGGGCCACTGAGGACGGTGTCGGTGTGGAGATCATGTTCTTCCTGTTCAAAATTTTGGGGGTGGTTGCGCGGCGGTGTTGCGTGGTGGGGGTGGCTGTGAACAGAGGCCATATGTATTTTCTCTTGGAGTTTGGAGAGAGGTTTTTGGACCCACTTTATGTATCGGGTACTGTGTCAAAAAGAGGGGGCCACGAAAACTGCGATTTTATGGTGCAGAAGAGACTCGACGGTCATGGAGGGCCAAGAAATTATAGAGCCGTTGCGATTGTGACACGTGGGTAGAATTAATTAGGTCAAAGCCTAGGTGTTATGTAGGGCTGGGCATGGGTTAGATTGGATTGGATTGGATTGATTTTGAGTCCAACTCAAACCCAATCCAACCCAACACAAAACAACACAACCCAACGTGTTCGATTTAAAAATAATTCAAGTCGAAACCAAAACATTCATGGTTGAAACCTAACTCAATCCAAACTGACCAAATTTGGGTTGGTTTGGGTTGGGTTGAATGATTTGGACTTGAGTCCAATTCAAGTTGGACCCAATTATTCCTTTGTTGAACAATTTTTTTATGGGTCCAATGGTTAGGACATTTTTTTATTGAATTTGAACATTTTTTTTTAAAGTTTGATACAATTTCAAATTGGACCAATTTTAGTTACATTAAAAAAGGTGATTTGAAATGCTTTAAATCGATTAAAGTTAGATCAATGGTCCGTAAGATTAAGTTTCATTCTGATAGAACAATATAAATTAAAAATATTGTAAAATGTGTTGAATAGATTATACCATGATCAAATTAAGTACATATTAAATTAATCTAAATACATGTTGAATACTTGCATATTATACATATTAAATAAAATGAATTCAACCTAAATACTAAAATGTAAATCATCAAAACTCAATATAAAATTAAAAATATTACATTCATCCAATAAAAATTAATATATTCTTCGAACCTCAATAAATTTAAAATTTATAGTAGTCATTCAAATATATTGCAATCATCCAACGATGATAAAATATTTCGTGTGTAATGAATTATTCCTGAAGTCCCAAAGTGCATTCGCCCAACAAAGAAATCTACATTCCTACAGCAACACAAATGAAATACTTAGGGAATAATGAGTCAAAATTTGAATGTAGTATTTAGCAAATACTATAACAATATATCTACATGAAAAACTTGAAAATGAATGAATCATTTAGAATTTGGGCCTTGATTATCTTCGATTGGTTTTGGATTCATTGATTCCAAAAGTTCTACAAAAGAAAATTGAATTTACAATAAAATAGATAGAAACAAGTAGCATTAACAATTATATAGGATGTAATTATATTACCTTCATCCATCTGGTTATAAATGCTCAAAATCTTCCATAGAGAATCCATCCAGGTTTAGAGAAGCTTTCAACCAATTTTGAGTGCACACCAAGACCTCCACCATTTTGGGGCTCAAAGAACTATGAAATGAATCAAAAATTCTTCCTCCAGTATTAAAAGCACTTTCTGAAGCAATAGTAGAAACTTGGATTGCCAATACATCTTTGGCTAGATTGGACAAAATACCATATTTACTTTTGTTAACCTTCCACCAATCGAAAACATCAAAATCCTTGTTCTCTATGCTTTCACGAGCATTTAATAAGTATCTTTCCACATCATTATTTTTATCTCAATACAATCTTTTACTGCTTATTTTTCCAAAACCCTAGAGAGACGAACATAACTCATAGAAGAAGAACTGCATTTATCTGAATTAAATGAACTTAAAGAATCCCCAGTTGATATTTGACTACTTCCACGAAATCGTTCACGTACCACTATTTAGCTTTCAAAGCTATAATCATGTTACTAACAACTTCTCCATCCTTGTATAGATCAACAAAAAAATATTCTACATAATCTAGTTTGTATCTTGGATCAAGGACAGTAGCAATAAGCAACAACTGGTTCACATTTTTCATTTTACCCCAATACTTATCAAATTTATTCTTCATGTTGACGCCATTTCACCTAATAAAAAAAATCTTCACTTAGTCTCCATTCATCCAATTTGATTACAAAATTACATANATTAGAGAAATTTTTAAGGAAGTGGACAAGCACGGAACTATTTTCCCAATCTAAACTTGAAGGAGGTCCACCCCTCCTTCTACCTCCATCATCTTCCCGAAAGTAATTCAAATACTGAGCATCCTATTCTTCTAGCCTTTCGAAAGCTTTTTCAAATTTCAAAGCAGTTTCCAACATCAAATAAGTAGAATTCCACCTAGTTGGAACATCCAAAAACACGATGGATTTGCAATCAATCTTTTCTTGCCTTGCACATTCCTTTAATTTTTCATACTTAGCAGGAGAAGATTTAACATATTTGATTGCATTACGAATACTTACAATAGAGTCATGTACTTCCCTTAACCCCTCACAAACAATCAAATTAATGATGTGTGCACAACATCTTACATGAAAATATCTACCATCTAGAACACAGCCATCACTATCCCCAACCAACAACCTTCCTCCTAAGATAAGAAATAGCTGTATCATTTGAGATTGCATTATCAACCGTGATTGTAAAAATTTTCTCAATCCCCCACTCCTGCAAACAATTCTCAATCATTTTGCCAAGAGTTTCTTTCTTATGATTTGGAACAACACAAAAATTCAAAATGTGCTAATTAAGTGTCCAATTGGAATCAATGTAGTGTGCTGTAAGAGACATATAATTAACATTCTGATTGGAAGTCCAAGTATCAGTAGTAAGGAAAACCCTTTGACGGTGGGAAGGAAAAACATCTCTCATTTTCAATTTTTCATCCAAATATAATTGATAAATATCTCTAACGAGAGTCCTACGAGATGGGGGCTGAAATTGAGGACATGCTACACTACAAGAAAGTCTAAATCCACAAGCTTCAACAAAATTAAAAGGTAGTTCATCTAGTATTATCATCTTAGCACATGCAACTCTGTACTCTTCTTTACTACCACCAATAGCTATAAGATTGCTCCCATTTCCCTATTTTCACTTCTCAAAACATAACATTTTTTACTTCTTATCCTGCAATCTACCAGGATACTTCTTACAATTATTTGTTAAGTGGTTACCCAAAGTGCTTGTACCACATTTTGAGCCATAAGCATAATCCATTCCATAGTAGTTACACTTACACCTAACATTTTGGATTATTCTTTAGGCCCAATAATGTAAAGTGATCCCAAACAAATGAAGTTATTTATTAGATTTTCGATTTCCTAATGTTGACGACGGACGTGGAGGAAAACTTGATAGCATATCTGTGTCATTTGAAGGGACTACTGTGTCATTTTCTTCACTCATATTGATATTTGCCAACATATTCCACGAACCACCAAAAATATTAATCAACCAACGTTCGAGGAAGCCAAAAAATAGCTAGACAATGCTATGTTACCAAGGTTCGTGAGATTAAGGCTGACGTCATGCAACTTTCGGAGGTTGAGCTAGACCTTGAGCACCGTGGAAGGCTCACCCCAGTAGAGGAGATGGATGAGGTCGAGCTCAAGCCTGGTAGAAAAGTTACCATTGGTCAAGATCTTGATGCTACAACCATGACCTAACTTATCAGATGTTTGTCTTGCAACATGATGTATTCACTTGGAATGTCGAAGATATGCCTGGAATAGACCCTGAAGTTGCAGTACACAGACTTAACGTAAACCCAGGTGCAAGACTAGTAAAGCAAAGAAGGAGGCAGTTTGCGCCAGAACAGCGGGAAGACATACGAGAAGAAATTGCTAAGTTCATCAATACGAAATTCATTTGGGAAGTCCAATATCCTGATTGGCTTGTCAATGTTGTTCTTGTCAAGAAAGCCAATAGGAAGTGGCGAGTTTGCATCGACTTTACAGATCTAAACAAAGCATATCCTAATGACAGCTATCCCCTACCTTGAATAGATAATCTTGTGGACAGCACCCGAGGTCATAAATTATATAGTTTTTTGGACGTTTTCTCTAGGTACCATCAAATTCTTATGTCAGAAGAGGATCGGGAGAAAACCTCATTTATGGCCGATTCAGCCATTTACTGCTACAGGGTTATACCATTCAGGTTGAAGAATGCAGGAGCTATATATTAAAGACTTATCAATAAGGTCTTTGCCAACTTAATAGGGAAGAACATCGAAGCATATGTGGACGATATGGTCGTTAAGAGAAAGCAAGTGGATTGTCATATCTACGACCTTGAAGAGGTCTTCGCTACACTGCGGAGGTACAAGATGAAGCTGAACCATATGAAATGTACATTTGGAGTGGCTTCCGGCAAGTTCTTAGGATTCATGATCACACATAAAGGAATAAAGGCCAACCCTGATAAGATTCAAGCCTTGATATCTATGGAATCCTCGAGTTGCAAGAAAGATATACATAAATTAACAGGTCGGGTGCTTTGAATAGGTTTACATCCCGAGCAGCAGACAGGTGCTTCCCATTTTTCAAAATCTTAAGGGGTAATCGGACCTTCGATGGGAATGAGGAATGTGATTTAGCCTTTCAATAGCTAAAGCAGACATAGGCAACGCCTTCGGTCCTCACTAAGCTAGAACCTGATGATACATTGTTATTATACTTGGCCGTTTCTGAGAATGCGGTAAGTGGGGTGTTGGTGAAGGAAGTTGGAAAGGTCCAGCGACCTATTTACTATGTGAGTAAAGTACATCTGGATGTAAAAACACGTTACACGTTGGCTGAACAACTTGCACTTGCCTTGGTTATAGCTGCTCGAAAGCTATGTCAATATTTTCAATCCCATCCCATTGTTGTGCTCACTGATCAATCACTTAGACACATACTTCAGAAACCAAACGTTTAAGGAAGACTACTGAAATGGTCGATTGAACTTGGTGAGTTCGATATAGAGTTCAAGCCGCGGCTTGCAATTAAAGCGCAAACCTTAGCTAACTTTATTGCAAAACTGACCCCTAGGCCTCGAGGGCCACAAGAAAGGGAGCCGAGCAAGACATTGGAAATTTAGGAAATATTCGTAGATGGAGCATCAAACAGTTTAGGATCAGGCATAGGGATTATCATTACTAACCCAAACAAGACTACCGAGATCCAAT